CGCGGAGGGCGCTGACGCTGCGTTCCACGCCCTCCTGGGCCCCGGCCTCGTACACGGCCAGGCGCTTCTGCAGGTCCTCGGCGTCGCGGCCCAGCCGCTTGCGCAGCTTCCGCAGGTGCGAGGCCAGCCGCGCGCGCATCTCCTCCGTGCTCTGGCCCAGCATGGTCTGCACGTCGGTGCGGTACTGCGCCAGGCGCGCGCGCACGTCTTCCATGTCCGCCTCCAGCCGCGCCTGCGCCGCCTGCAGCTCCTTGTTCAGCCGGGCCTGGGTCTCCGTCGCCATCGGGCTCAGCTGGCTCTCCACCTCGGATTTGTACGCCTTTATTTCCTTCATGGTCTCCTCCATCAGCACCCTGGGTGGGGAAGGGGGGGGGGACGGAGGGTGAATGGCCATCATAGAGCGAGGGAACCCCTCCCCCAAGAGAAAGAAATCCACAGAGGCACAAAACAGACATAGATCCACAGACACATGGACTCATGAGAAAGCAAGGGCCTAGCATGGAAGCACACGCCTGCAATCCCAGCTCTCCACCTGACGCCCATCATGCCCAAAAGTGCCAGCTTTTGTCTGGAAAATAAATGGAAGCAAGACAGGCTGGGGATGGGGGGGGGGTGCCCAAGGCCCCAAGTTCAAAGTCCAGCAGGATGGGGCACCAGAAAGAGAACAGAGACAGGAAGAGCAATGGAAGAACAGGAAAGTGCAGAGACTCGGACCCTAAAGAGAGGTGACAGGGAATGCAAGGGACCTGGGGCCCCAGGGATCCACCCGCAGGCAGTTGGCCACCAGGAGGGTCAAAGGTCAGGGTGGGTGACTCACGTCAATTCCTGGGTGACCTGGGAGCTGAGGAGTTCCTCCTGCACCTGGTCAGACAGTGTCTGCACCCAGCGCAGGTAATCCCAGAAGCGGCCGAGCGCCAGCTCCCAGGGATGGCTGGCCTGCCACGGCGAGCGCTCAAGCATCTCCGGCTCCGACTCGGGCTCCACCACGTCAGCCCGGCATCCTGTGTGGAGCAAGTTCATGGCTCTGTGAGGGTTTGGCCTCAGGGAACTGGTACACAGCACGGGTTCCATTAATGCTCCTGGGTGTGTTTGGAGTCACCCAGACCCTCCCCACTGAAGGGTACTGTTTGTTTACCTGGCCAACATGTATGGTCTCTGTGTACCTGTGATGGGCACATTACTATAGTTCCCTTTGTGTGTGTGTGTGTGTGTGCTGGGGCTTGAACTCAGGACCTGGGCGCTGTCCCAGAACTTTTTTGCTCAAAGCAGATGTGCTACCACTTGAACCACAGCTCTACTTCTGGCTTTTAGTGATTAGTTGGAAATAAGAGTCTCTTGCATTTTTCTGCCTGGGCTGGCTTTGAACCACAGTTCTCAGATCTCAGCTTCCTAAAAAGCTGGGATGACAGGCATAAGCCACTAGTGTGGGCACTAATTCTGGGGCTACAATTTCCCCTCCCTCTCTTTTTCTTTTCAGTCATGGGCTTGAACTCTGGGCCTGGGTGCTCTTCAGCTCAAAGTGAGTGTGCTACTACTTGAGTCACAGCGCCACTTCTGGTTTTCCGGTGGTTCATTGGAGATGAGTCTTACAAGACATTCTGTTCCTGCCAGGCTGGCTTTGAACTGCAATCCTCAGATCTCAGCCTCCTGAGTAGGTAGGATGACAGGCGTGAGCCACCGGCACCTGGCTATAATTCCCATGTTTATACATGGAAAACCCAAAGCCCACCCAGTCAAACACTGCTCAGGGCAAATGTCAGGAGAGCCCCAGATATGGGACTTGCTCTCAAAAAGAAGATGTAGCCAGGTGCCAGTGGCTCATGCCTGTCCTCCTACTCACTCAGGAGGCTGAGATCTAAGGATCATGGGTCAAAGCCAGACCAGTCAGGAAAGTTTAGTGCTCTACCACTTGAGCCACAGTGCCACTTCCGGCTTTTTCAGCTTATGTGGTGCTGAGGAATGGAATCCAGGGCCTCATGCATGCAAGGCAAGCACTCTACCACTGAGCTACTTTCCCAGCTCCATCTTATTGTGAGACTTTTATCTCCAATGAACCAAGCACAAAAAACAGAAGTGGAGTTAGAGCTCAAGTAGTACAGTGCCAGCCTTGAATGAAAAATGTAAGAGACAGGGTCCTGTGTTCAAGCCCTCAGTACTGGCACACACAAAAAGAATGAGATGGAAGCCAGGTGCTGGTGGCTCATACCTGTCATCCTAGCTACTCATGAGGCTGAGGTCTGAGGATCTCAGTTCAAAGCCAGCCCGGGCAGGAAAGTAGGTGAGATTCTGATCTTCAATGAACCATCAGAAAACCAGAAGTAGAGTTCAAAGGGGTAGAGTGTGAGCCTTCAGCAAAGAAGCTCAGGGACAGCGCCCAGGCCCTAAGTTCAAGCCCCATGAGTGGCCCAAAAAAGAGATGGAATCTAGGACTTGAGTTAGGGAGAGGGGGTGAGATGGGCCAGGGGAAAGGGCAGAGCTGGGAACAAACCCTGCCCCCATACCTGCCAGCAACGTGACCACCAGCACAGCCCACAAAAGCTTCATCTTCTCAGAGCCTGCTATTGGCCAGTCTGCGGAGGAGAAACTGTCAATAAACAGCCAAGAGATGGCTCCACCCTCCCACCCTCAGCCCCGCCCCAGGTTAGGGGGCTAATCCAATCACAAACATCTACCAGGATGCCCCCACCCCCCGTCTTTTGTCCTAGCCTCCTCTCTCTCCATCTCCAGGTCCTCTCCATTGCCAAAAATTCCACCTTGCTCTCCCAGGGTTCAAATTCCATCCCACCCCACCCCCAATCTCCAGCTGCAGCTGTGTTCCCAGAGGTCCAAACTAACTCTACATCTAAATCCCTGCTTTCCATTGCTGTGCTAATGTAACCCTCGTTTTAAACTCCTGGTCCGGAGCAGAGGTGCAAGTCTGTAATCCCATATAAGGGAGGCTGAGGGAAAAGGTAGCACGGAGGTTTGAGGCCAAACCTAAGTAAATAGAAAGGCTAAAGTCCCCCCCCCCTCAAAAAAGTCCTTCAATGTAGTTGAGGTACCCCTGTGCCCCCCAGCATGAAAATAGGGCTGTGGCAGCCTTCAGTAACAGGTTTTAATCCTGGGTCGTCTGTGGTCTCCCAGCTGCCCCCTTGGCTCACTTTCTAGCTGGGCTCTTGTGGCCCCAGCCACGGGCTGCTTTTTCTCCAGTCCCCAAGTGACTTTTCTATGCTCCAGCCTTGTCCTGCCTGTCCCCAACTCTTCCTTGGAGGCCAGGAAGTCCCCAGGTCCTCCGTCTTATCTCCCCACTGCTCCAGGTCAGGCTGTGTCCCCAGACCCTTCCCTGCGGCTCTGTGATCCTCCTCACCAGCTCCAGGGGGGTGCACGATCCTCTCCTCCAGGGGCAGAATAGCGATCTGGGATCCCAGACCGGCCCAATTATAGGGCTCCCTGCTCCGCCCCCTCCCCAGGGCCCGAGGGCTGGGCCAGGCCCTGTCACGAGGAGGGGAGGGGAGAAGGTGGGGCTGGGCTTGGAGGCCTTGTGACCCCCCCCCAGCCCCCTGAAAGGGAGGTAACCTCTCACCCAGTAATACAGGTGTCCTCCTCTATTTGGCGGGGGGACTGGAACCCCCAGTACTCACTCCCCGCTAAACTGGACGATGTATATACATTATGGGAAAGGGGCTGGGGTTAGCATAGAAGCGCAGGAAGGGATGAGGCACTTGGATGGACAGGCGCTGGGCTCTGGCCTCAGCCTCCTGTGGCTGTGATCATGGGTGACACACTTCTGGGACTCTCCCCAGCTGAGAAATTGGACCCTATCCCTTGCCCTGGAAACATAAGCAGTTGCCCCCCCCCCCCCATCTGGAAGCTGAGTGCACCGGCCAGGGGAACCTGCCTGCCAGACTGTGCCGGTTACCTCTACGGTGGCCTTGGGCAGGTGACTGAGCCTCTAGTGTGCACTGCAGCCTCTGAGCCTTGCCTGAGGCCCCTCAATCCCCCCATTTAGGGTGTGGGCAGAGCAGGCCAGAAGCTGGGGCCAGGGTACCAGCTGGCCCCTAGAGCTGGAAAGTGGCCCTGGGGCGGGAGCAGGGTGGACACCTGGTCCAGTGCCTTGGAGCCTAGGCTGGTTCCTGGTTAACTAGGGGTCACCTCTGGCCGCCAGCCTAACCTTGGACAGGGGCGGGTGAGGTCTCGGTTCCTGTCTGGGGAGGGAGGGCAGTGCGGCAGGCTCCCGTAGTCCCAACCTTTGGGAGTCAGTGGCTAGAGAACTGAGGCCGTCCTGGGTCACCTGGCCCCTAACACAAGGGGCTGGGTCTGGCAGGGTGGGGCCTCTGTCCTTCCCTAGGTGACTGCCAGGCTTGGGGCACCCCGCCTCCTGCTCTGCATGGGGGGCCGGGAAAGGCCCTGGGCTGTGGGACTCCGGCCCCCAACCCTGCACTCTGGGCTCCCCATGGCTTGTTTACAGGGACAAAGTCCTTGCAGCTCAGCCTGGGATCTGACCGAGGGCACATCACCCCCCCAACCCCCCCAAGGGGAGCACGGGGTGCGATGTTGCCACGGCCCGGTCCCACAGCGCCCCCTGCCGGCCCACACCGGAGAAAACCATGTCCTCCTCCCAAGTGGTTTTTTTTTCCACGTATATATTTTTTTCTGCAAAATGTCCCGGTTCTTCCATAACTTATAAACATGATTTATACGGGGGAGGGGGAGGTGGACGGGGCGGGAGCTCCTCTCGCTGCCCAGGGCCGGCTCGATGGGGCCCCCGGCTGCTGGGACACCGCCCTGAGGTCTTCCGGCTGCCTCTTGCACGGTGCTCGGAATATTCCAGAATCCCCTCCGGGACCCCAGGCCCCCTGGCGCTGGGAATCCTGAGACCCCCCTGGTGGGCTGCTGGGGGGGGGGCCGGAACCCCGTTCCCACTGCCCCCGCCCCGGGAGGGAGGGAGGGAGGCGCAGGGTGGAGGATGAAAGGCGGAGGCCGGGCTCAGCCGATGGTGAGGCCGAAGCCGCACAGGAACTTGTTCTTGCGGTGGTTCAGGAAGGCGCCCAGGGCCAGTGTGAGGGGCAGCGGAGGAAGCTTCTTCTCCAGCGTGGCGCCCACGATCCAGTTGCTGTCCACAGAGCCTGCAGGCGAGCAGGTGGTGGCGGAGCTGAGTACAGGGTGCCCCACTCCCTGGACCGCCCCACTCCCTGGACCCCCCCACTCCCCAGCCCAGCAAGGACGAAGCGGTCAGTGCGGGGGCATGGGGCTGGACAGAGCCACCACCCCTGGTGAGGGTGAGAGGGGGTGACACGCAAGGCCAGGACAGCGCCCAAACAGACGGTCTGCATCTGACTGGTGGCTCCCAGAGCCTCAGTTTCCACTTATGTCCAGGCGGGGGCAGGGGGGGGGGGGGGGGGGGGGGTGGCACAGGCCAGCTGGGGCTGGCACTCTACGGGCTCACCTTTGAAGAGGAGGTTGGCCTTGGGCAGGTCCAGCTGGTACCCAAAGGAGACGCTGGTGTCCTGCATTCTCGTGCTGGCCTCGAACTCCACGCCCACCTGCAGCTGGAGGGGTGGGGCCACAGGGGTGAGGGGCGGGCCCCTGTGCATGTGCCCTCCCTGGCTCCCCCGCCACACCCGCCCCTCTCACCTGGTCACTGGCTTTGTGGTAGTATGTGGCGTGCATGCCTGCCTGGCCCAGCGTGACCGTGGCCAGCCAGTTGTTCACTGAGGAGAGCAGAATGGAGGTAATGTTGCATGTGGGACCCCGGAACCCCCTCCAGCCCCAGCTCCCCCATCCCCAGCCGTTCATGCCCCACTCACGTGTGTACTTCCCGGCTAGAGACATGACGGTGCCCTCCTCACCCGGCCGCCGGTGGTAGACCAGCTCTCCACCCAGTGCCAGGCACGGCGTGACACTTTGCAGGTAGTGGGCCACGAGGATGCCTGGGGACACACGCAACGCCAGGCTGAGGCGGGTCCAGGTGGCCAGTGTGCTTGCGCAACTGGAGCCAGCACCACGCCTGCACACCCAAGACCAGTACCGCACCTGTGCACCCCAAGCCGGCACCAATGTGCCAATCTGGGCCTCCGCCACCCAGTCCCATGTTATATGAGCCATCAGGGCCGCGGGGCAGAGAACACAGCCCAGGTCAGGCAACCGGGGTTCAAGTCCTGGCCCATCTTTGCAGCCCAGGTGACACAGAGCCCCCGCACCTTGGAGCCCAGGCCCAGACAAGTCTAGGCAGGGCCACCCTGAACGGCTGGAGGCTCGGGATCCCTGGCAGCAAGAGTGCAGCCGTGAGCCTTGCCTGGGCCACTAGCACCCCGACAGCCCCCAAGGCTGCAGAACACCAGAGACCCAAGCAGGCAGCAAGGGCCCGAGGCGGAGCTTGAGCACGGCAGGCACGTTCTCTACCGTCTGAGTGAGCACCCACCCTTGGGCTAGGCTGTTCCAGACAGTGTTGGGACTGAAGGCCTGCACCACCATGCCAAGCAAAGTGGCACCATTTTTGCCTTTTGCAAGAGTAACAAGGGTCAACATCCAGCACAACAGGACGAGGGGAAGCATTTCACACAAGGAGCACGTGTAAAGGCCCGGAGGGAAAGCGCCAAGACAGTGGAGCTTTGTGGCTCAACCAGGGTGACAGTGTAAGCCGAGTGAGTGGCACCATCATCAGGTCAGCAGGACACAGGAAATATATCCTCCACCCTTGAGCCCCTGACCAAGCCTACCTCAAGCCCCCCGCCCCCCCAGCTTCTCGCCATGCCCTTCTCCACTGCCCCCTGCTCAGGATGCTCTGGCTCCAGCCTCCTGGATACACAGGCCCCCTGCCTGTCCTGACCATGCAAGACATGGGGGACAGGGCCTGCCCTCCAGCGCTCAAGCCCACCATGGCCTCCACCAACACGCATGCTCCCCTGGCAGCCACTCCCATCGCTCCACTTTCCACAAGCGAGCCCCTGTAGTCTGCTCCTGGTCCCTGAGCACAAGGCCAGGCCTGTCCCTCACCAGCTCAGCTCTGGTGACAATGCCCCAAGCTCAGGAAGAAGGTTGAGTTCTGTCATCCTAGCTACTCAGGAGGCTGAGATCTGAGGATCATGGGTTCAAAGCCAGCCCGGGCAAGAAAGTCCGTGAGACTCTCATCTCCAATAAACCACTAGAAAACCAGGAAGTGGCATTGTGGCTCAAGTGGTAGAGCACTCGCTTTGAGCTAGAGTTCAAGCCCCATGATTGACCAAAAAAAAAAGAATGGAAGCCCAGCCTGGAAATGTGGCCTAGCGGTAGAGTGCTTGCCTAGCATGCATGAAGTCCTGGGTTCGATTCCTCAGTACCACGTAACTAGAAAAAGCCAGAAGTGGCACTGTGGTAGAGTGCTAGCCTTGAGCAAATGCAGTTCTGGAATGGTGTCCAAGGCCGAGTTCAAGCCCCAGGACTGGCAAAAAAGGAAGCCCAGAGGGCAGACACTTCAGTCATCCATTTATCCCTTCTTCTCAGGACCTAGAAGGCACTATACAGAACATGCTGAAGACATACACACTGAAGCTGGGTGCTAGTGGCTCACGCCTGTCATCCTACCTACTCAGTAGGCTGAGATTTGAGGATCATGGCTCAAAGCTAGCCTGGGCAGGAAATTCCATGAGAGTCTCATCTCCAATAACCTACTCAGAAAAGGCCAGAAGTGGAGCTGTAGCTCAAGTGGCAGAGTGATCGCCTTGGCCTTGAACAAAATAAGTTCAGAGACAGCGCCCAGACCCAGAGCTTAAGCTCCGGGACTGACCTAACAAAAAAACAGAATGCACTGAGCATATGTGCCCATGCCTCTAATTCCAGCACAAGGAGGTAGAGGTGGGAAGATAGTGAGTTTGAGGTTAGCCTGGGATACCCAGCAAGATCTTGTCACACACACAAAGAGTGCAGGTATTTAGCTACTTGCAGAAACAAAGAGGAACCACAAGGAAGAACTTGGAAGTCCAGTCAGTAGTCAAACCTGGCCCCCACCCCACACCCAGCCAGACCTTCATCTCCCCAACTGCACATGGTCTTGGGCCACCCTGTGACCTGCTGTGTTCTAGAACCAGCCAGAGCCCACTAGGGCTCGCCAGGGGCGACCAGCGCCCGCCTCAACTAAGCTTTCTCTGTGCATCAGCTTTTCCTTTGGCACCACTGGGGTTTGAACTAAGGGCCTAGTATGTTAGGCGGGTGCTTTCCCCCTTGGACCAGGCCTCCAGACCTGAGCTTCTCTAACCGCTGGCACCCGAGGAGGAGTGGCCTTGCAGAGGAGCCCAAGGCACTGTCATGCCACCAGGGCTCTCATTCTGGGGTCACTGGTTCCCTGACTAATGCGAGGGCAGGAAAGGAGGGAGAGCGGACAGGTTCTGGGAGCCCCCTCAGAGGCTGACCCCTTACCTGATCCCACCAGGACGTCGGGGTTCCCCAGGGTGACAGCTGCTGTGAAGTCGGAACCCCGGTACTCGCCGTCCACCTGCCAGTTCACAAACTTGGACTGCTGGGTCTGTGGGGAGAGAAGGGGTGAAGGCGGCGGCGGCGGGCGGGGTGCACCTGCAGGCAAGCAGCAGGCCCCAGCCCCGCACTCACCTGGAAGGCCATCTTGGACCTAAGGCCTGGGCTTAGCTGGTGGATGACCTGAGCATTGAGGCTGCCGCTGTTGTCCATGTCGCCCACCAGCACAGGGAATGCCTGGGGACGCAGAGCAGGCGAAGGTCAGGTGTCAGCCGTGAGCCCCTCTCCCAAACCACTTGCTTAAGCTGTGGACCCCTGGGGCTCCCACAGCCCTTCCAGGCCTCTTCACCCAGGCCGCTAGCTTTCTGGGAACAGATCCTGACACATGGGATGGAGGCTCATGGCTGCGCAGTCCCTGCGGTGTCCCACAATGGCAGATGGTAATGCAGTTCAGGGAGGGAGGCTGGAAGGTGCCAGCCTCCCATCTCAGCCTCCTGCCTCCCGCGTGTTGCAGAAACTCATTGAAAGAATTCAGGCAATATAGACAGGAACCTAATACAGTTGCGCCTTCCATAAGCCTCAATCCTGCACCCCTGCACCCCAGGTCTGGCACTCCCATGGCAGGCATGTCTACACGTCTACAGCATCAACTAACAGCTCCATCTTTGCCTGGGTCAGGTGTTCCATGGCTCACCAGTGCCCCCTAGAGCCAGTCCTGGCAGCAGGCCTGGCTGGTCTGCACCAGGGAACAGGTAGGGCTCAGGGGATGCTGATGGAGGAGGCGGCTCCCTGTACCAGTCCACACGCTGGGGAGACCCAAGCCCACAACCCAGCCAAATATTCCAGCACCTCAGCCAGGCGGGCCATGTGCTTAACATATTTGTCCAAAGACACTGAAGCAGAAAGAACCTCACCTCCGTGGGACTCAGCTGCTTTGTCCCTACATAGGTGACCCCGAAGTGGTAGTTGGACTCCCCAATTGTGCTGAGCGCTACCGTGTGGTTCACCTAGGAGAAGAGGGAAAGCTTGAGGCATTTGCTGGCCTGGGTTGGCCCCCCTACAGAGGGTAAAGACAGGGTCCCCAGCAGGGGGATGGAGGGAGTGTGTGTGGCTTTCAGGGGCCTTGGGTTGGATCTGCACAGAGGTGAGTAAATTCAGAGGTGGGGCCTGACTAGATTAGAAGCCATGCATCCGAAAAGGTGAGCTGGGGTGTTCTCCACACCTAGCCCTTCACTCTTGCCTGGATATTGTGGGTTCCAGGCCTCTGAGTCCTGAAGTCCTACCACTAGCCCCACTAAGTGGTGAGCATTCTATTTGTCTTTGGTTTCCCCCGGGGCCCTCCATGTCTTCCTAAGTGTGGCCCAGGCTGACCTAGGAACTCTTGTTCCTTTTGCCTCCTGAGTGCCAGGATTATAGGTGTGTGTCTCTACACTCTTTTTAAAGTGTTTCCAAGCCCAGGGAGTCCCGCTCTTCAGGCAGAGAGAAGACTTAGGGGACAGCGCTGTGAGGTCCTGGGAGGGCAGGGTCCCAGGAAAAACCCACCTGGAAACGGTTACTCAACCCTTTGTTGACCGTAAGCTTGACACCCTCCATCTGAACGGGAAACAGCTCTGGGGAAGAGAAATCCACACAAAACTCTTCTTTCCTTACGACCCCCATCTCTCTCCCCGGAGACCCTGCCAGCAGCGCAACAGATTCCAAGGCATCCCAACCAGAACAGTGGATGACACCAGGAGGGCCTTATCATCTTGGAAGATGGGGAGCCTCATCATGCAGGATGCGGACGGGAAGGATTTGGCGAGTTATCCCATACTGAGGATTCGAGGACTCTTGTCAGTTCCTCCCACCATCACCCCACAATTAACCCAGGTTCCAGACTTAGAATAGTGAGGCACGCTGAAGGCGGGGGGTACCCCCCTGTCCAGGGAGCCCTGCTGACACCGTGACCTTGGGTGTCGGTCCCCTCGGTGATCACCCCCCCCAGGAGGCTGATTCTACCGTACCCC